ACCGAAGTGGTTCAAATGATAATTATTACACATTGTCTATTAGAAAAGTAATACCTTTTATTTGCCTTTTATTAAACAATAATATCTCCCTCTGCTGGCATTGTTATTTATATAGTTGGGATGTTACTTGGGTAGCATAAGATGGTTCTTTTTGATCTATCTTTCAGTTCCTGGGAACAAGAGTCACAATGAAAGGGGTTCAGGATAACATTTGGAGAAGGGATCCTCTTGGAGGATGAATCTGTAAAACACTTCCTCAGAATGTGGCAGAGGCAGAGTAATTGAGCATCTTTAAGGTGGAGGAGGTAGATTCTTGACAAATGAGTGTTGAAGAATATTGACTGTAACTCCATTATAGCCTTTCTTCAACCATGGGCAAAAAGCTGAGTTCCAGAGGTGAGGGAACACCACATACATTCCCTTCCAAGGCACTCACCACCCTGACTTGGAAATATATTGCTGTTCCTTCACAGTCACTAGGTCAAAATCCTGCAATTCCCTCCCTAAGGGCATTGTGGGTCAACCAACTGGAGGTGGACTGCAACAGTTCAAGAAGGCAGCACACCACCACCCTTAAGAGCAACTAGAAATGGGCTATAAATGCTGGCCAGCCAGTAACATTCACGTCCCATGAATGAATAAAATAAATCTCCAATAAGAGACAACTTAACAACTGTCACATGACATTCAATGTTGCTATCATTGTTGAATTCCCCATTATCAATATCCTTGGGGTTACAATTCACTAGAAGCTCAAGTGGACTTGCCACATAAATGCAGTGGCCACAAGAGCTGGTCAGAGGCTAGAAATACTGTGGTAAGTCACCTCGTGAGTCCCCAAAGCCTGTCCATCATCTACAAGATCAGTCAGGAATGTGATGGAATGGAAAACTTGCTTCAATGGTGCAACTCCAACAACAGTAAAGAAGCTTTACACCATTCACAACTTTTCATTGAATACCTACAGTGTGGAAACAGGCCCTTTGGCCCAACAAGTCCACACCTTCAGAGCATTCCATCTAGACACATCACCCTATAACCCACCTAATCTACTCATTCCTGAGCACTACAGGCAATTTAGCATAGCCAATCCACCTAGCCTGCACATCTTTGGACTGTGGGAGGCAACCCATGCAGACACAGGGAGAATGTGCAAACTCCACACAGTCACCTGAGGCTGGAATCGAACCCGGGTCCCTGGCACTATGCGACAGCAGTGCTAACCACTGAGCCACCATGCTGCCCCATCAGGGCTGACTGATGGGCACCATGTCTGTAAATATTCACTCCCTCCACCACTTCTGCTCAGTAGCAATAGTATGTACTGTCTGTAAGATGCAGTGCAGAAATTCACCGAAGATCTTTACATAGCATCTTTCAAACCCATGACCAATTCTATTTAGAAGGACAAGGAAAGCAGATATAGAGAAATACCACCACCTGTACCTAACACAGGAACAGGTGGCATTGGTGCCACTGAACTGCTCCTTTAATGGCTTTAATCAACTCTTTGCATGCACTTGGGTGCTTCTTGAAGCCAATATATTGCAACCCATCAACTTAGCATCATCTGCAACCATGATCATTTTATGGTAATATTGCAAATCTCAGTCATTGGTGTAAATTGGAATTAGTAGGATTCCTCATACAGAATCCACTCCAGTCAATCATTTCATAGTATAGCCACCTTTAGTATCTATTACATCTTTCCTTTCACCTAATTTATGAGGTTCCAGATGATATTTTGAATTCCATGTTCTTCAATGCACATTGATTGCAGTGGTTCAAGAAGGCAGCTCACCACCACCTTTTCAAGGGCAACTACAGCTTGGCAAGAAATTCTGGTCCAGTCTCTGTGCAACTTTTATGGAAACATTTTGGTGAAGACTTCCTGAAGCTCTAATACACGGACATCAGACTTAATACAACCAGCACTCAAACAGAAAATAGCAAAATTGTCATTATGTGATAATGTATGAACCTTTAAGGATGTATCTCATATTGCTATCCATCAGTACCATAAAGCAGAATGTTATGTATTTATATAGAATCATATATATAGATTCCCTACAGGCCTTTCGGCCCAACAAGTCCACACCAACCCTCAGAGTATCCCACCCAGACCCATCCCCCTATAATTCACCTAATTTTCGAGGCAGTCACCAGAGATGGAGATAGACGCAGTTGTGCTTTGATACACTGACTTTTACATAGCTGAGGCCAGGTACCAATTCTCTGACATCTCCTCCTACCCCCCCCCCCCCCCCCACCACACACACACACACAATTACGACCCCGCCCCTGACCACCAAACCATCATCTCTCAAAGCATTCATAAACTGGGTGGCCATGGGAACCTGCATGGGCCCAAGCTATGCCTGCTTCTTCGGAGGATATATGGAACAGTCCCTCTTCCGCAGCTACACAGGCACTATCCCCCACCCCTTCCTCTGCTACTTCAATGACTGTATTGATGACTGCCTCATGCTCCCATGAGGATCTTGAACAGTTCATCAACTTTACTAACACCTTTCACCCCAAGCTCAAGTTCACTTGGACCATCTCTGATACCTCTCTCTCCTTCCTGGACCTCTCTGTCTCCAACTCTGGTGATCGCCTCAAAACCGACATCTATTTCAAGCCCAGTAACTCCCACGGCTACCTAGACTATACCTCCTCTCACCCACCTTCCTGCAAGAATGCAATCCCCTACTCCCAATTCCTCCGCCTCTGCCACGTCTGCTCCCAAGATGGGGCATTCCACTCCCGAACATCCCAGATGTCCTCTTATTTCAAGGACTGCAACTCCCCCCCCCACTTCAGTGGTCGAAAATGCTCTCAACCACATCTTTTGCGTTTCCCGCACCTCTGCCATCACATTCTCTCCCCCCCAACAAAAACAAAAACAGAATTCCCCCTTGTCCTCACATATCACCCCACTAACATCCGTATCCAACATATCATTCTCTGCCACTTCCGCCACCTACAATCTGATCCCACAACCAAAGATATATTTCCCTCCCCACCCCTATCTGCCTTTCATAGGGACCGCACTCTCCGCGATTCCCTTATCCACTCCACACTCCCCACTAACCCCACCACCTTTCCCTGCAACCGCAGGATGTGCTACATCTGCCCCTCCTCCCTCACCTCCGTTCAAGGCACCAAACAAACCTTCCACATTAGACAGGGGTTCACCTGCACATCTGTCAATGAGGTCGATTGCATCCGCTGCTCCCGATGTGGCCTCCTCTACATCGGTGAGGCTAAGCAGATCCTTGGAGACCACTTTCAAGAGCATCTGCGCTCTGTTGGCGACAAACGACAACACCTTCCAGTCATGAACCATTTCAACTCCCTCTCCCACTCCCACTCCCTGGGAGACATGTCTATCCTGCGCCTCCTCCAATGTCACAATGATGTCACCCACAAACTGGAAGGGCAGCCCCTCATATTCCTCCTTGGGAGCCTACAGCCCAATGGCCTAAATGTGGATTTGACCAGTTTCAACATCTCCCCACCCCGGCCTCATCCTATAACCAACCTTTCCTCTTATCCCCACCTCCCTGACCTGACACAACCTGACCATCTTCTCTTCCACCGATCCACTCCTCCCACCTCACTGACCAATCCCCACCACTTCATACCTGCACTCACCTAACACCATCCCACCTACCTTCCCAGCCCCACCCTTCCTCTCTATTAATTTCTGAGCTCCCATCCCCCTCCCCCATTTCTGAAGAAGGGTCCCGACCTCAAACGTCAACTTTCCTGGTGCCTGGCCTGCTGTGTTCCTCCAGCCCCACACTGTGTTATCTCTGACTCCAGCACTGGCAGTTCTTACTATCTCTGAGTGAGTTATAGCCTCTCAGTTGCCATGTTTGTACCATTTTGTAGGCTTATCTTTAAATAAAACAAAATTTTGTTTTTTTTTGTATAATTGGCAGGTTTGTGATAAACTGAAGAATGTAACAAAAATTAAAATTATAGATCAATGCTTCCTAAACTTGTTTCCTCACAGTGACCCAGTTGCACCTCAATGAGAGTGGGAGGAGATGGCCTACGAAATCGGGTGAGGTGGGGGGCATGTATTGGCCATTGATGCTTTGGAGCTTGTTTTTGGGAAACACAATTCTATGTGAAACAATGATAAGCTGAAATGTGGATTCATCTGGTCATACATGAATTTATACCTTTTAAAATGAATCAGTAGGAGAACACGTAAACATGGAATAAAGCTGGCAACATTTACAATTGTGATAATGGAAGGTGACACTCATATGTAGAAAGAAAACACATTGATCGCACGCCTCCTTCCAAGCCACTCACCATCCTGACTTGGTAATTATATACTTCACTGTTGCTGGGTCCTAGAATTCTCTCCTTAATGGTGTTGTGGGTCAGTCCACGGCAAGTGGACTGCAGCAATTCAAGAAGGCAACTCACCACCAGCTTCTCAAGGTTACCTAGGAACAGGCCAGCCAGTGATGCCCATGTCCCACAAGTGAATAAAGGAAAATGTTGAGATGAAACAACAAACAAATCAGAGCAGAGCATGCTTCAGCGGTTGAATGACCTACTTCTGCTCCCAAAATGTCTGTTCATATTAAATTAAGGATATATATAAGGTGTAATCTTGTACAGCAATTATGATTGATTAAAGTTCCTATAGTTTTTAAAATATGATACCATTTGAAGAGTGTCAATTAAGTCTACAAGATGGTTGATCATTACTTTTGTTGGCCCTCCACTGTGAAGCATGAATTTGCATACATGTTTTAAATGTTAAAGCATTGATAGTGATTCATTTTGAGACCTGATGTAGAGTGTAGGATTATGAGAAACCATTTTTTCAATTAACAGTTGGAGATTTGTTAGTTTTTTAGTTTTTGTATTATAGTCAAAGAATTACTTCATACCAGAGTTAAGAATATTAATTATAGGAGTAAACATAGTTCCATGAACCCTGCTCCTTCATTCAATAAGAATGGAATGCAATATTTAAATATATATTTTAATTCCATCTTGGAGTTAAAGTTTTACTTCAATTTTAATTCTGAACCATAATGATTATTTTAAAACCATATGTAATCAATAGTAAAAATGTAAACAATTCAACAGTACTGTTCCTGTAAAATTAATCAAAATATTACAAATATTTTTAGATAACCAATACAATAGAATTGGCTACAATAGAAATTCAGGAAATAAATTCAGTAGAGATGACCAAACCCATGTTAATTCAAATAAAAAGTTACAATACAAGAATTATTTAGTTAAACACGAAACCTAACCAAATGTTTCTGACCATGTGCCACCAGTAGCACATACCTAAGACAAATGATGATAAACACTTGCCAACCGCAAAACTTTATAATTTTCTTTATTACCAGTAGAAAGTTTTGGTTAGAAAGCTTGCAGCTACATTTAACCAAGTTCTATTTGTGTTTTCCTTCACACCAGTTTGTGAAATAGCTTTATTATGCTGTATTTCTGGGCTTTCATCTTCAGGAAGATAATCAGGCAAATTCAGATTTTGTACTATTTTTGCATTACCAGTGCTAAAGGGAATGATATCCTGTAAAACAAGATATATAGTATAAATATTTATATGATCATTGAACTTAGTTAATTAATTTTTGGTCTTAGTAATCTATTATTTATGTATCATAGACAAATGATTGGTGATGCAATTTTCATTGTGCACCATGTTGACTTGGCCATCTTGCGTGGTCTTCTATATTCAGTTAATTTTAGATAACTAAATTTTAGGAGGTTAGCAACATAAAACTTAAGTGTAGAAGTTCATATTTGGCATTGATGACTTTTCTTTTGTGGTAAATAGCTTCTCCACAAGCTGATGCAGCGTTTTTTAATATGGTATACAAATATATAAAAGGGTAGCATACAACAACGTTATATCTAACATATACTCATTTTACCTCTTTTCCATACTTGTTTTTCACAACTTGATAAGCTTGTAGTATTTTTGTTGCTGCAATTGCTGAAGCAAGAGACTGATACGAAATAAAAACATTAGAAACAATTCAGTTTAGTTGTGAAAAATAACTTGTTTCATATGAAACCAATTTGTTGAAATGTAACAAAAATAAGCTATTCACAAGGCCATTTAATCAAAAACAATATTTTCATGGCAAACAGGATGCCATTATCACAAGTCCATGTCAGTTCAAGGTTATTAATGATTATAAGTATCTCAGAATTGTTACTGCACAGAAAGCGGCCGTTTGACCCATCATGAATGCACTGGCTTCCTTAATAAGCGTTATGACTCAGTGCTATTCCCTTTTGTCCCACTCGCCCCCCCCATAACCCTGAATATAGTTTCAATTTAAATAATTATCTAATGCCCTCTTAAATGCTTCAACTGAACCTACCTCTACTACAGTTCCAGCACTGCCACTTGCTATATGTTTTCCACATCACATTTGCTTCTTTTGCAAATTAGCTTGTTTCTTTCCTCTTTCGTTCTTGATCTCGCTATGAGATGGAACAGTTTCTCCCTATCTATTTTATCCAGCACCTCTAGATTTTGAAAACTTATATCAAATCCCCTCTAAGCTGTCTCCTCTCCAAGAAAAACAGTACCAAAGTCTCCAATCTATCTTTATAACTAAGTTTCTCATCCTTGGAACCATTCTCATAAACCTCCTCTGCAATCTCTCCTGTGTTCACATTTTTCCTAAAGTGTGACACCTACAAATCTACACTTGCTGAAATCTAATTAGTGTCTTACACAAGTTCAGCATAACTTCCTTGTGGTTGTGCTTTATTTTTCAATGAATAAAGGAATTGTTAGTTATTAGTAAAGAGGTCAGTTTAGCTCGGTTGCCTGTGTGGTTGGTTTATGATGCGGAGTGACACCAACAGCATAGGTCAATTCCTGCACCAGTTGAGGTTACCATGATGGACTGTCCTTCTGAACCTCTCTCCATGCCCAAGGTATGGTGACTCTGAGGTTAAACCACTACCAGTCATCCATTTCTCTCTCTAATGGTAGAGCAATCGCAAGGTCTGGCAAGTCATTGTGATTTCCTCTTTATTAATAAAGCAAAGGATATTGTACCCTTTATTAATTTCTCACTCTGCCTGTTCTGCCATCTTCAGTGACTTACGCACATAGATACTCAGGTCTCTCAGCTCCCATATACCCTTTAGGGTAATGTCCTTTATACCGTACCTCCATGTTCTTTCTATCGAAATCTATCACCTCACCTCTGCACTGAACTTCATCTGTCACTTAGTCACCTATTCCAACAATTTGTCAATATCCCTTTGTTGTTTAACACTCTCCTCCTCACAGTTTACAATACTTCCAAGTTTTGCATCTCTCGCAAACTTGAAAACTGTCCTCTGCACACCAAGATCTAGATCATTAATATAGATCAGGGAAAGCAAGAGTCCCAGTACTGACCCAAGGAACTCCATTACAAACCTTCTGGACTAAAAAATGTCCATTAATATTATTCATGGTTTTACATTCCTCAGCCAATTTGTATCCATGTTGCTATTGTCCCATTTATTCCATAAACTATAACCTTCCTCACAAATCTGATGAGTGGTACTGTGTCAAACCCTTTTTGGAAATCCATGTATACCTACATCAACCGTATTACCTCCATCAACACTCTTACCTCTTGAAAAATATCAACAAGTTTATTAAACAATTTCTCCTAAAGAAAGCCATTCTGGCTCTTCCCAATTAACTCATATTTTTCCACATGACTATTAGTTGTATCTTAAATAATCATTTTAAGAATAAAATCAAGAACTGGAGATGCTGGAAATCTGAATCTATAACAAAAATTTCTGGAGAAACTCAGCATCTGGAAAGAAAGATGAGTTTATGTTTTGGGTCTAGTAACTCTTCATCAAAACTGTGGTGTAACCACTTTTAAATGTATTATTTTTAAAAAAAATGGTTTCCTGCCTCGTGGATGCATAACAATGATGTTATCCTCTTGGAACAGATATGCAGTGTATTTCTTAAATGGGAAGAGATTATAAACTGTAGATGTACAAAGGAATCTGGGTGTCCTATCAATAAGTCACTGAAGACTAACATGAAGGTGCAGCAGGCAATTCAGAGGGGTAATGGTATGCAAGTCTTTATTCAAAAGGATTTGAATAGAGGAGTAGCAAAGTCTTGCTTCAATTAAATTGATTAGATTGACTTGGAGTCCTGTGTGTAGTTGGGGTCCCCTCGCATTAGAATGTGAATTGCCATCGAGGAAGTTTCAACAGACCTGTTCCCAGGCTAGTGGATCATCCAACTGAAGAGAGATTGGGGAAATTGGTCATGTATTCAAATGAGTTTTTAAGGAGAAATGATCTCATTGAAACCTACAAAATATTTAAAGGGATCGACAAGAGTAGATACAGGTAAGATGTTTCCCACGGTTGGCGAATCTAATCAGAGACACAATTTCAAAGTAAGGGGGAAGCCATGAGTCAGGATTTTTTTTTATACAAAGCTTTATGAATCTTTATGAATCTTTGGAATTCTCTACCCCAGAGGGCTTGGAAGTAGAGACTGGTATTTAGAAATCTGAGAATAATGTAGAGGAATATACGTTCATGTGGGAAAACGACATGAAGTGGATGATCATTGATGATTGTATTCACAGAAATGGTGGATGCACTGGTAGTAATCTTCCAAGAATCCTTACATTCTGGAAAGGTCCCAGAGGATTGAATAACTGCTAATGTAACACATTTATTTAGAAAAGAAAAAGACAAAAGAAAGGTAATTGTAGGCCAGTTAGCTTAATATTTGTTATTGGGAAAATGTGAGTCTATTATAAAGAACAAAAGAGAAGTACAGCACAGGAACAGGCCCTTCGGCCCTCCAAGCCTGTGCCGATCATCATGCCCTGACTAATCTAAAAAACAAGCCTTCTGCCCTTACTTGGTCTGTTCCCCTCTTTTCCCTCCCTATTCATGTAACCATCCAAATGCTTCTTAAATGTTGCCAACGTGCCTGCTTCTTCCACTTCCTCTGGCAGTGCATTCCAGGCTCCTATGACTCTCTGCGTGAAAAACCACCCTCGCACATTTCCCTTAAACTTTCTCCCTCTCACCTTGAACGTGTGCCCCCTCATAATTAAAACTTCAACCCTGGGAAAAAGCCTCTGACTATCCACCCTATCTATGCCTCTCATAATTTTGTAGATCTCTGTCAGGTTTCCTCTCAACTGACATCTTTCTAGTGAAAATAATTCTAGTCTTTTTAACCTTTCCTCATAATCAATGTTCTTGACACCAGGCAACATCCTGGTGAACTTTCTCTGCACTCTCTCCAAAGCTTTCATGTCCTTCTGGTAATGTGGCAATCAAAACTGCACACAATACTCAAAATGCGGCCTAACAAGGGTTTTATATAGCTGCAACATGTTTTGCCAGCTCTTGTACTCCACGGCCCAGCCAATGAAGGCAAGCAGGTCATATGCCTTCTTAATCACCTTGGCCACCGGTGTTAAGGAACTGTGGACCTGCATACCCAGATTCGTCTGAATGGTAATGTTTTAAGAGTTCTGCCATTAACAGTATAATTCACACCTAAATTTGATCCTCCAAAATGCATCACCTCGCATTTGTCATGATTAAACTCCATCTGCCGTTTCTGTGCCCAAGTTGCCAATTTATCTATATTCTGTTGTATCCTTTCACAATGCACTATCAATAACGCCACCAATCTTCGTGTCATCTGCTAATCAAATCACCCACATTTTCCTCCTGATCATTTATATACACTACAAACAACAGAGGACCTAAGACTGATCCCTGTGGAACATCACTAGTTACTGGTCTCCATTCTGAAAAACACCCTTCCACCGCTACCCTCTGATCTTCTAAAACCAAGCCAGTTTTGTATCCATCTAGCCAGCCCACCCTGAATCCCATGTGATTTTAGAATTTGTTCCAATCTGCCATTTTATCAAATATCTTACTAAAATCCATATAAACTAGGATGTTTATAAACAGCATTTAGAAATGCATAATACGATCAAGCAGTCAGCACGACTTCATGAAGGGGGATATCATGCCTGACAAATTTACTCATTATTTGAGGAGGTAACAAGCAGTATTGATAAATGAGATGCAGTGAATTTTCAGAAGTGTTTGATAAGGTACCACACATTAGGCTATTTAAGGTAAGAGCTCATGATGTTGGAGATTGTGCATTAGCATGGACAGAAGATTGGTTAACTAATAGAAGACAGAGTTGGGATAAAGGGGGCATTTTCAATGTGAAGCCTGCGATAGGTGTGTCATAGGGATCAGTGCTGGGGCCACAATTATTTACAATATATAAATGACTTGGATAAAGAACATGAACATACTATAACCAAGTTTACAGATGATACAAAAATGGATGGGAAGGCAAACGATGAGGATGACTGCAGAGGGATATGGACAGGTTAGGGTGAGTGGGCCAAAATCTGGTAGGTGGAATATAATGTGGGGAAATGTGAGGTTATGAACTTTGGCAGGAATAGAAAGCTAAATATTATTTAAATGGAGAAAGGTTTCAGAAAGCTACAGAACAGACGGATTTCAGAGACCTCATCTATGAATCAGAGAAAGCTAGCATTCACTTCACTGGTTAATAGGTAAGGCAAATTGGCCTTTGTTTCAATGCAGAGAAGGTTCACCAGGCTGATACCAGAATGGAAGGACTATGTTATGCAGAGATTTGAGTAGACTGGGTTTGTACTGTTGGAAAATAGAAGAATGGGAGGCAACTTTATTTAAACATTCAAGATTCTTAGGAGACTTGACAGGGTAGATGCAGAAAGGTTGTATCCTCTTATGGGAGAGCCTAGGACCAGAGGGCATATCTAGAATAAGGGGTCTCACATAAAACAGAGATGAGGAGGAATTTCTTTTCTCAGAGGATTGTGAATCTGTAGAATTCTTCACTGCAGAGGCTGTTGAGGCTGGATCATTAAGTATAAAATTCAAGGCTGAGACAAATTTTTAATCAATAAGGGAATCAAGAGTTGTGGGGAAAAGGCAGGAAAGTGGAGTTGAGGATTATCAGATCAACCACAATCTTGTTGAATGGTGGAGCAGACTCAGGCTGAATGGCCTACTTCTGCTCCTGTGTCTTTTGGTCTTATGCAGTTGTAAGTCTTTTTCTTCTTAAAACAATTTGGACAATGAAATAAAAAGGGAAATTTTAAAAATATCCATATAAAAATACATTCCTTAAATGTGGTATTGTACAATTATAGTGAAGTAAAACACATTACAATTATACAGGAAATAAAGATCCTCATTATTCAGAAGTCTGGCATTCACTGTGGGTAAAGTGGGATGGGTAGGGAACATGACAAAATTTGACTTTGGCACATGCACAAAATGCACAGCAGCAGATCAGCTATCCATTGTAATCCTTTCCTTTTTTTATTTTCATGAACTTTAATTATAAATTACACAGTACATTGGAACTGTCTGATCAGCTGACAGAAATATGCTACCAAACTCCCTCTGATTGATAAGTGCAACATGACAAATTTTGCAAAACACAAAATTATCATGGAATATATGGTAAAGACTGATAGTCCATCATGTAATGACATAAAATGAACATCAAAGAAAAGGGTACTAGGCACAACTATCCCAGTTTATACATGCTTCACTTCATCCATTCTTCCTCATCTAAATTATTAGTGTTAATCCTCTATTCTTTTTCTCATGTGTTTGTCTATCTTTTAATTGCACTCACACCTAATTTGTTCTTCTCACCACTGCCCGTGTAAAGCAATTTATTTTGAAGTCATTATTTGATTTTAATTGGCTATTTCATCAAACCTTTTACAATTTTCCTCTTCAGCGAGATTTCATTATCTTTCCTAAAGCTGAAGGTAAGCTGACTGATGTGCAGTTCTCTGAGCATTTTAAATCTCAATTTAAGAAGGGAAATAGACATTAGCCAACCATAGTCCTCTGCCGTTACAACATTTTCAATTTAATTATTAAATATGTGTAATATCACTGCAATTACCTCTTTTCTAGATTATTTTAAAATGCATGATTGCAATCTATCTGGATTAGGGATATTATTTGAGTTTAATAAATTTAATATTTCTCACTAATTTAATAAATTATTATTCCTAATCTGCTCTGATTTCATGTCCACTGATCTATCTATCTGGTAAATCTGGCAACTGTAACTAATTGATTATTTGATATTTATATCATTTTGCTATAGCTGCTGAGACTTTATCTTGTTCACCCATCAGTGGCTAATGGCTCTATTCCTATCCTTACTTCCTTCTTTGATGGTAAAACAAGTTAATATTTTTCTTTAGGTTCCATGATAATTTAACTTTGTTATTCCTCTTTACCTTACTAATTGTTTATGACTTCTCTCCTACATCAGTACATACACCAGGTACCAATGCAATTTTCCACTCAGTACAGACACAATGGAATGAATGGCCTCTCTCTGTGCCATGCCTTTTCTATGATGCTTGAACTTCTATGAACTTGAGCAATCTATCAAATTGAATTACTGCTTTAATTTCTTGTACACTACATACCAAGAACATCTTCAGGTCCAAATACTCAAGGTATAGTCACATAAATAAAGAAGCCTTCCACATTACATTCATAATAGAACATTTACAGCTGCAAAGGAACCCATTCAGCCCATCTTCTTCATGCTAAGAAAGTGCTATATGGCATAATCCCACTGTCTAACTCTGTAGGTTGCAGTCACTTCCACTGCATATCAAATTGGGTTGTAAATGTGCCAAGGGTTTCAGTCTCTACCACCCTTTCCGGCAGTGATTGCAGAACTTCACCAAGTTCTGGGCATGAACTTAAGTTGTTTCTGATCAGAGAAGTATATGTGTTTACTGCTTCTTTGTGTGTGCACAGACCATCAATACAGATATTAGAATTAGTAATAAACAAATCAGGGGTTAAAACCTAATATCACATAAAAGTTTTAAAATTCTCACCTCAAATTTAACATCAGAATAGGTTCTGATAACACAACGCTGAAGAGCCATTTGAAATGTAAAGCTGATGACACCATTAACTTTTAACAAAGCTTCTTCACAGATATTTCGGCTATCCTGCATAAATATTAGAAAAAAGGTTTACAATCTGCATAATGTTTTCATTTCCCTGCCACAAAATACAATTGGACATAAAACACAATAAAATATTGTTGAGAGGTACCACTTGTAGGAATCTCAGCCTCTGCATTTAATAATTAACTTATTCCAATTTTCACTTTTACTCAATCACCAGCGTATCTTAGTTAATGCCAATAAACAATGTACTGTAATTATCAACAAAATGAAATACATTTTTATAAATTTAAGATCTAAAGTTTGGAAAGAAATTGAGGCCAGGAATACTGACCCTCTGTTACTGGTAGCTCATATTAAGACACATTTGGGTTAACCGTTTTCAACAATTCTATACATTGCAAGTTACCACTCATAGGGAAAATGCTCCTCGAGTATTAGCTTTTACTAACTTACAAAGTTTTAGCACAGAAACAGACGCTTCAGTCCAACTTGTCTGTGCCGACCAGGTTTCCTAAACTGAACTAATCACATTCGCCTGTGTTTGGCCTATATTGCTCGAAACCTTTCCTATTCATGTACCTGTCTTTTAAATGTTGTAACTGTACTTGCCTCTACCACTTCCTCTGGCAGTTTGTTCCATATATGTACCACCCCTCCCACCTTAAACCTATGCCCTCTAGTTTTTGGATTCCCCTATCCTGGGGAAAAGACCTTGGCTATTCACCTTATCTATGTCATGATTTTATAAACCTATTTAAGGTCACCCTCAAACTCCTACACTGCAAGGAAATAAGTCCCAGCCTATCTAGCCTCTCCGTATAACTCAAAGCCTTCAGTCTCAGTAACATCCTTGTAAATCTTTTCGGCAGCCTTTCCAGTTTAATAAAATCCTTCATATATCAGGGCAACCAGAATTGTAGTCCAAAAGTGGCCACACCAATGCCTTGTACAGCCACAACACAATGTCAAGACAGTACATGTAGCCAGTACGCTGAAAACGGTTACTCTTGCAAACCCTATTCACTTCATTTTGATATTGGGAGAGGGAACAATTTTAAGAATTGTTGGTAACTGTTTTCATGCAATTATAGATTTATATAATGAAATGAACCATTTATGTACATTTGTTTTCACAATGAGTGATTTTCTGGCCACTAATTTCGATAATCAGAAAATCATGCATGCACAAATTTATGGTCTACACTGCTGGCTGGCAAAGGCTCTTTGCTTGGACCAGATAGTTGGAAAATTACCCACAACATTTAGTTATTTTAAAAAAATCTGATAAACCATTATCAAAAAAATCTAAAGCAAAGCATTGTATTTATCTATAATTTCTACGACCTCAAGTTGTCCCAAAGAACTTTACAGGTAATACAATCCTTTTAAATGTAGTAACTGCCATAATATGAAAACTGTCTGCAAGGTCCCAAAATAACTAGGTCATCAAAAATTAAAACTGACCACTTACCTTTTGAGTAGTACTATGGAATCTTCAAGTTCACCTGAAAAGGAAAATGGGGTACCTCAAATAGTACAGATTCATGGTTCTACACAGGTGCCAGTCTAGATTCTTTTCCAAGTCTTTTTCATGGATTTATAATCTTCTGACTTAATAGCAAGAGTGCTACTACTGAGATGTGGATGTAATTGTCTTCCAAAGCACTAGAATAGTCCTTCATATAATTCTCTGAACAATCTACAACTCCTGAGTATTTCTTTAGAAATTGTATTTGCACAAAGAAAAAAGATTTTTACACACCATTTAATATTGTCTTCTAGTTTATTGGAATACATCTCTTGAAGTCCTAATTATTAACTGCAAAGATTTTGAAAGGTTAAAACCCATTAGACCATATTTCATGTAATAAGCCTAAAAACTGAGAGAGAAAATATAACTATTCTGATAGGATTTGCATATTTTTCCCAAACCAATCATTTAAACCCCTGTGTTGTTGAAAGCAGAGATAATTCAGTAAATTCTCACCATGTTATGTAGTCCATCTATCTGTAGTGTGATTGTTTTTGCTTTCTTGTTTGTGCTGTTAATGAAAAACTGTGCTGGCACATTTCTTGTACTGCTAGAATTATCAGCTTTGGCTTTGACAGTTTGTACAGGCTTCTTCAACAGCTCATAAATTTCTGTTGCTAAAACGCTGATGCCTTCTGATGTGTGGTCCCTGTCACAAAAATGGGCAATTATACAAGTTAAGCATCAAAATTTCACAATTTTTTAAGTAAATAAAGAATAACTTGAACTAAACTTCAGAGAACAAAAATTATGATGAATGCAACACAGGTTAAAAAAACAATGACGCCAACAACACTTCCATGGAGCTTGACCATCATATGCTAAATTTTCTTTCAGAAGGGAAAATTAAAACCACAGATCACTAAGGAGGAAGAACGGAGGAAAGAAAATCTGACTTCTCAATCTCCTCTCAGCTAATTTTAGAATTGCAATGGCAGGCATCTGTTAATTTTTTCAGTTATGGATGATGTGTGAAATAAGCGAAAAGCAAGTAGGTCAAAAGAGAAAAAAAATCTCAAATACAAATGTACAGCAGGTTGCAAAGATCACTCAGTAAACTCAGCCATTCATTTACAACATCAAGGCCAGAGAATTACACTCTGAATATTAATCCTGGTCAATTTTCAGTGATTTTCCATAATCTAACATAGTGGTATTGGCTCGGCTAGTAACACAGAAACTTGGATAATGTTCTTGGGACCTGGGTTTGAATCCCATCACAGCAGGTGGTGAGTTTGAATTCAATAAACGTCTTCAAAAAGTTGAATGATGACCATCAAACATTGTGGATTGTCATAAACGGTTCACTAATGTCTGTTAGGGAAGGGAGCTGCCATCCTTATCTGGTCTGATCTACATGTAACCCCAAAATCACAGCAATGTGGTTGATTCTTGATTAGTCTCTGAAATAGCCTTGCAACTCATAGAGTCATACAGCATGGAAACAGACCCTTTGTTTCAACCAGTCCACGTTGAACATAATCCCAAACTAAAGTAGTCCCACCTGCCTGCTCCTGGCCCATATCCCTCCAAACCTTTCCAAATACCTATCTATCCAAATATCTTTTAAACATTGTAAATGTACCCACATCCACCACTTCCTCAGGATGTTCATCCCACACGCGAACCACCTTCTGTGTAAAAAAAGTTTGCCTCTCATGTCTTTTTTAAAATCTCTCTCCTCTCACCTTAAAAATGTGCCCCCGTGTCTTGAAATCCCCCATCTGAGAGAAAAGACAACTATCATTAACTCTATCTATACTTCTCATAATTTTATAAACTTCTTTCATGTCGCCTCTCAACCTCCTACGCTCCAGTGAAAAATGTCCCAGCCTATCCAGCTTTTCTTTATCACTCAAATATTCCATTCCTGGCAACATTCTGGTAAATCTCTTCTGAACCCTCTCCAGCTTAATAATATCCTTCCTATAACTGGGCAACCAGATCTGGACACAGTATTCCAGAAGAGACCTCACCAATGTTCTTTACAACCTCAACATGACTTCCCAACTCATATACCCAAAGGACTGAGCAAGGAAGGCAAGCGTGCCAAACACCTTTTTAACCATCCTGTCTATATGTGACGCAATCTTCAAAGAATTATGTACTTTCACCCCTAGGTCCCTCTGTTCTACAACACTACCCAAGGCCCTACCATTAATTGTATAAACCCTCTCTTGCTTGTTGTACCAAAATGTAATACCTTGCATTTATCCAGATTGAACTCCATCTGCCATTTTTCAGCCTGTTGAACCATTTGATCAAGATCCCTTTGTAATCTTAGAAAACCTTCTTCACTGTCTACTATGTGACCAATTTTGGTGTTGTCCCCAAACTTATTAACCATGCCTTCTATATTCTCATCTAAATCATTTATATAAATGACAAACAAAAGAGGATCAGAACTGATCCCTGCAGAACACCGCTGGTTGCAACCCTCCACTATTACTCTCTGTCTCTTGCCATTAAGCCAATTATGTATCCAATTGGCAAGCTCACCCTGAATCCCATGTGATCTAACTTTACTAATTAGTCTATCATGCAGAACCTTGTCAAAGGCTTTACTAAAATCCAAATAAACATCTACTGCTCTGCCATCATCAACCTTTTTGGTAACTTCCTCAAAAAACTCAAATCAAGTTTGAGAGATAGTAGGAACTGCAGATGCTGGAGAATCTGAGATGATAAGGTGTAGAGCTGGATGAACACAACAGGCCAAGCAGCATCAGAGGAGCAGGAAAGCTGACGTTTCGGGCCTAGACCCTTCTTCAGAAAAGGCTGGATAGGCTGGGACTTTTTCCACTGGAGTGCAGGAGGTTGAGAGGTGACCTGAAAGAAGTTTATAAAATAATGACAGGCATAGGTAAGAGTTGATGGTAGTTGTCTTTTCCCTGAGATGGGGAATTTCAAGACTAGGGGGCACATTTTTAAGGTGAGAGGAGAGAGATTTAAAAAAGACATGAGAGGCAATTTTTTTTTTACACAGAGGGTGGTTCACATTTAGAAAGAACTTCATCAGGAAGTGGTGGAAGCACTTTACAATGTTTAAAAGTCTTTTGGATGAATTTATGTATAGGAAAGATTTGGAAGGGTATGTACCAGGAACAGGCAGGTGGGACTATAGTTTGGCATGGACTGATTAGACTGTTTCTGTGCTGTATGACACTGATCACCAAGATAGATGATGGTAGCATGTGCAAGGGAACATCGCCACCTGTGAGTACCCATCTAAGACACACAGCATCTTGACTTCAAACTATATCATAGTTCCTTCACTGTCATTGCGTTGAAATCTTGGGAATCCCTTTCTAACAGTATGCAATTACATTATATGGATTATAACAGTTCAAGGTGGCAGCTAACCATCACCTTCTTGAAGGAAATTAAAGATGAGCAATAAAAGCTGACCCAGATAGCGATGCTTACATCCTGTCAAAGGATTAAACAACTGATATCAGGACATATCAGGAACTTGCAGTAAAGCATGTCTGAATTGGCACCGTATCCAACAAATAAAGAATACAGGTGGAAAGAGACTGCATGACTCGACTGCAGAAAAACAATAAATGCAGAAAACAGTGCAGCATTCTGGCTCAAAAACATCCCATTTTCACAGTAACTCAGCTCTCTACACAAAGACCTTTCTGCAGGATCTTCCTGCTGAGTCACTTGAATGCACACAACATTTGAATCCAACCTCATCTGCTCAAATTGTTTGAAGACCTGCAAACCACTGGAAACAGAAAAAAGGCATAAGTGTTCAGATACACATGAGCTGCAGTCAAAGGTTTCCCAGACGGTATCTGTGAGCTATGTGTTTATAAAAATGGGTGCTGGAGTAACACACTATGCTGCAACAATCAAAGAGATGCTGAATGCTAATTGCATTACTGATCAATTCGTATTTCATGTTTGTAGTTAAATGCAACAATATGTTCAATCTGAACCAGAATTTGAAAGAGGAAAGTTCCCTATTCAGAACTTTGGTCTAGTTTTGTGCAGATACACTTGAACTGAGTTAACTGCACCAATAATTGTGAACACAAGAACTCCAGACATTAAGGATGTATTCAAAACTGACTTCAGTTACAAGTGGGGGTAAAAATTGTTTCAGAGATAGTAGGAACTGCAGATGCTGGAGAATCTGAGATAACAAGGTGTAGAGCTGGATGAACACAGCAAGCCAAGCAGCATCAGAGGAGCAGAAAGGCTGACGTTTCGGGCCTAGACCCTTCTTCAGAAATGGGGGAGGGGAAGGGGGTTCTGAAATAAATAGAGAGAGGGGGAGGCGGATAGAAGATGGATAAAGGAGAAGATAGGTGGAAAGGAGACAGACAGGTCAAAGAGGCGGGGATGGAGCCAGTAAAGGTGAGTGTAGGTGGGGAGTTAGGGAGGAGATAGGTCAGTCCAGGGAGGACAGACAGGTCAAGGGGGCGGGATGAGGGTAAGTAGTAGGAGATGGGGGTGGGGCTTAAGGTGGGAGGACAGGTCAAGGGGGCGGGATCAGGTTAGTACGTAGGAGATGGGGGTTGGTGGACTTCACAAGCTTCAAAATCTCCCCTCCCCCTACCGCATCACAAAACCAGCCCAGCGCGTCCCCGCCTCCCTAACCTGTCCTTCCTCCCACCTTTCCCCTCCTCCTACCTCAAGCCCCACCCCCATCTCCTACCTACTAACCTCATCCTGCCCCCTTGACCTGTCCGTCCTCCCTGGACTGACCTATCTCCTCCCTAACTCCCCATCTACACTCACCTTTACTGGCTCCATCACCGCCTCTTCGACCTGTCTGTTTCTTCTCCACCTATCTTCTCCTCTATCCATCTTCTATCCGCCTCCCCCTCTCTCCCTATTTATTTCAAAACCCCCTTCCCCTCCCCCATTTCTGAAGAAGGGTCTAGGCCCGAAACGTCAGCCTTCCTGCTCCTCTGATGCTGCTTGGCCTGCTGTGTTCATCCAGCTCTACACCTTGTTATCTCAGTTACAAGTGGAGTAGCTGTAATTAGACTAGCTGAAAGTGTTCTCCTCAATCTAATTGTCTCTCAGACAGACAGCTAACTACACAAACTGAAAATGCTTGATTTTTAGACACTAAATATCATTATAATAAACACATAAAAAAGATTCTGTGAGTATCCAATTCCATGTTGCACAGCACAGCAAACAATTTATTGAGGCTGTGTTTGAGCAGTTTGCTAAGTGAGGTTCCATCTTCTCCAAAAATCCAAAACCTTCAGTTGAGAAAGAAGGGTGCAATATGAGGAAGAGATTTGTCTATATCATTGCAACACAATGCAGCTGAATTTGCTACAGGTTGTATTCAAGTTGGATTCAGTATTGGTTCACTGTTGTCAAATTTGGAAAGAGAAGCAAAACTGTGTTCAAAGGAAGGAAAAAATAAAACAAAGTTCAAAACTGTTAACCTTTATGAGGATCAAAGTGAAAGCTCTCAATTGTTGCTTGGTCATTTATACATTGTCCATCCAATTTGAATATTAATGCCCAAGAAATGCGATGAAGGAAAAGCCTCAGAATAACCTAGCACATTGTGCTATGTGAAAAAAAGGCCACTATGACTATTCTTTAAAAACAGCCTAATCATAGTTATATGTAATGGCAATAATAGATACAAGGAGGAAATACGGTCCAAGCCAATAGGCAAGCTTTTATACTACACGTGAAGATGGCAGTCAGAATTTTAACTTCACCTATAATAACAGCTATATATACATATAGTATCTGCCTTCATACTTGAACTAATGAGTAGATTCAATGCAGCAGATAGGCAAAGAAATAGAAATTTAGTGACAACGTTTTGAAAAGTTCAGAAGTTTTAAATATGGTAACTCCAAAAATTATACTAAAAGCACTTTAAGAATAGCTACCACTCTAAAAATGGAACTTACATTGAATGTTACAATTCTCTCAAATGCACAGAATTTCCCACGACTGGTAGAAATCACTTACCTTTTCTGAAGTCTCTCAAGATTGCTCACCAATCGTAACTCATTTTTCATTAACTCTCTATTACAGGGACATTCTGCCAGATTATGCAGTGCCTAACAACAAGATAATACAACACCTGTCAAAATAATCCAGAAGAAATATAACAAAAAATATATAATTCATGTTTAGATGATATAATTTGAAAACAAAGGTACTAGCAAGATAATTCATTTTTCAGTCTGAGTGACCTTACAATGAAAAGGCATTAATTCTCAAAATTTTTTATTTGTGGAGAGGGATCATAGAGTCATAAAATCCCTACAGTGTGGAAACAGGCCCTACGGCCCAACAAGTCCACAGTGACCCTCAGAGCATCCCACCCAAACACATCCCCCTAAAACCCACCTAATTTACACATTCCTGGACACTATGGGCAATTTAGCATGGCCAATCCACCTAGCCTGCACATCTTTGGCCTGCGGGAGGAAACTAGAGCACCCAGAGGAAACCCACGCAGACACAGGGAGAATGTGCAAACTCCACACAGTCGCCCAAGGGTGGAATCGAACCCAGGTCCCTGGCGCTGTAAGGCAGCAGTGCTAACCACTGAGCCACCGCGCCGCCCTATGCAGTACTATTTCACCCACATAATAAAATTAAATACAAGAATTATCAAAAATTTGGAGGTTGAGAGGGAATAATAGAAATCTTATAGATCTATCCAATATTGTAAACATACACCTATATTTCACAAGAATTCTCTGTGGGCAGACTGCTAGTTGCTTAGTGAGGAGAATCAAATTGCAGCCTGGTGAACATCTTGTGGTAAAAACTGAAAGAACTGCGGATGCTGTAAATCAGGAACAAAAACAGAAGTTTCTGGAAAAGCTCAGCAGGTCTGGCAGCATCTGTGGAGAAAAAAATCAGAGTTAACGTTTTGGATCATTCTGAGGAAAAGGGTCATCGGACCCGAAACGCTAACATTAAGCTCAGACCTGCTGAGCTTTTCCAGCAACTTCTGTTTTTGAACATCTTGTGGTGTTGTTCTGCAAGCAGTGGAGTAAACCTTGCACAATTTTCAGTCTTAGAAAGTTGATATTGGTAAAAAGTGCTGGATGGTGTAATCACTTCATACAGATTTGACTCACCAGAAGTAAATTCAATGGCATTACAGAAAATTCAGCAATTTTTTAAATTGAGATACTAATTAGAATATAATTGTTTAATCACCAGAAAGTATTAAATCATAATCTAAACTGTACTGAAGGAAAATATTTAAAACATGAGATGTAAGCAATAGATCAATAGAAAATTGCATACCTGAAGGGCACAATGTAATACTTGTAGATTGCAGTGTTCCAGGAATACCACGAGGCCAGTAAGACACCCCTTGTCTTTGACAATGGCTTCTCTATTCTGCGTTTTTGAAGCCAAGTCCCTCAGTTGACTAACTACAGACAAAGCATCCATCACCTTGTATGTCATTCACTGCAATTTTGCACAAACAATTGGGTCACAATTGTTGACTGATTATAATTTACAGATTTTATTCATTTGTGAAAAATGCATTTTAAATTATTTTTAATTTTCTGTAATACCATAAGACATAGGAGAAGTAGGCCCTTTGACCCATCAAGTTTGTTCTGCTATTCAATGAGATCATCGCTGATTTGATAATCCTCAACTCCACTTTCCTGCCTTATCCCCACAACTCTTGATTTCCTTAATGATTAAAAATCTGTCTCTCAGCCTTCAAGATACTAAATAACCGAACCTCAATGACCCTCTGTGATAAAGAATTCCACAGATTTATGACCCTTTGACAGAAGAAATTTATCCTCATTTTGGTTTTAAATGGCTGACCTCTTCCAGTGAGATTAGACCTTCTAATCCCTTGGTGTTACAGCCTTCTTCAGTGTTTCTTCACTTAAATAATATTCAGTTCTTCTTTTCTTCCTACAAGTGCATATCTTACATTTTCTCACTTTATATTCCATCTTAAAAGCTTTTTGCCCACTCATTTGACCTGTCTATATGCTTTTGCAGACTCTTTGTGTCATCCTCATTACTTGTTTTCCCATCTATTTTTGTGTCATCTGCAGACTTGGTGATAGTCCATTCAGTTCTATCATCCAAGTCATTACTGTATTCTGTAAATAACCCTGGTCCCAGCACTGATCATATGATGTTCAAAGATTAAAGGTATGTAAATATATAAATGCCATACCCAAACGTTATAATAGCTTCTCCACATACAAACTAAACGGTAACTAATTTAGCTGATTTTTATGCAAGAACAGAGATATATTACATTTCATTCCATATCTGGCAATTTAAACTTGACAAAAAATTTAAAAAGAATCAACAACGAACTGGCACTTTGTTAATAAAATATTTACTTGTATGCTGATGATGGCCTTTCGCTGGGATTCAGTTATGCACCCACAAATAGAAAGCCTTAGAAAACTGTTAGTTAAGAGATATAGATTTTAATGTGCTTTGTGTGTCAGTAAATAAATATTTGTAAAAGTTCTTAAAATTGACAGGTTAACAGAAGACAATTGTCTAATGGTGAAGGGTGGAAACTAAGAAACAATGTTTAGACAGAAAACCAGAATCCTAACATTCAGTGAAACATTTCTGGAGTATGGTCACTTTTGTAATGCAGGAAATGTGGTAACCAGTTTGCATCCAACAACTCACATAAACAGCAATATAATAATGACGACAGAATGCTTTTTGTCATGCATAAAGGAGGTTAAATAATGGACAAGGCATTTTGGGAGAATTTCACTGCTCCTTTTTGACTGAGGTGCAATGAAACCTTTTGCATTCCTCCAAGCAGGCAAATAAGGCCTTGGTTTAATAATGCAACTGAAAGACGGCACTTCCAGCAATCTCTCAGTAGTGCACTGGGGACGTAGCCTTAAATTTTGAGCTCAAATCCTGGAAGACCTCAGAGACAAAAGTGCTACCAACTAAGTTATAACTAACATTGAGACCATTTTTTAAAATATTTCTAATGTTTGATTTGGAACTGAGAGTTGAAGTTGAGAATTGAACTTTGAACAGCGGCTTGTTTCTTTAAAAAAAACGTGAGAACAAAACTCTGATGTTTGCTGTTGGGAACTGGCCTGGAAGCATAGGGGGTATTGATGGCCTAATGGTATTATTACGAGATGATTAATCCAAAAACTCAGCTAACGTTCTGGGGACCCGGTATGAATTATGCCACGGCAGATGGTGGAATTTGAATTCAATAAAAATATTTAGAATTAAGAATCTACTGGTGACCATGAAACCATTGCTGATTGTTGGAAAAACCCATCTGGCCCACTAATGTCCTTCACAAAAGGAATTTGCCATCCTCACCTGGTCTGGCCTGTATTTGACTCCAGTGCCACAGCAATGCAGTTGACTCTCAACTGCCCTCTGAAATGCCCTAGCAAGCCACTCAGTTTTATCAATTGCTACAAAGTCTCAACAAAGAAATGAAACCAGACAGACCATGCAACATTGACCTAGACACTGGAAAAGACAATGGCAGAAACAGCCCTGTTGACCCTGCAAGGTTCTCCTTACTAATACCTAGGGTCTCGTGCAAGAATTGGGGGAGCTGTCTCACAGTCAAGCAACAGCCTGACATAGTCATACTTACAGAATCATACCTGAGAGGCAATGTCCCAGTTACGACCACTACCGCCACCCCTGGATGTGTCCTGCCCCACCAGCACAACAGAGCCAGCACAGATGGAAGTGGTATACTGTCTGGAGGGAGGGAGTTGTCCTTGGAGTCCTCAACATTGGCTCTGGATCCCATGAGGTCTTATGGCTTCAGGTAAAACATGGCCAAGGAAACCTCCTGCTGATTACCACATACTCTCCTCCATCAGCTGATGAATCAGTACTCTTCATGTTGAACAACACTTGGAGGAAGCATTGAGGGTGGCAACAGTGCAGAATGTACTCTGGGTGGGGGGAATTTCAATATCTACCACCAAGAATTCCTTGGCAGTAACTACTGATCTAGCTGGTTGGGTCCTAAAGGACATAGCTGCTAGACTGGGTCTGTGGCAAGTGGTGAGGGAATCAATAAGAGGGAAAAGCATACTTGACCTCAGCCTTACCAATCTGCCAGCTGCAGATCCATTGTTCCATGATAGTATTGGTTAGAGTGACCACCACACAGTCCTTGTGGAGATGAATTCCCACCTTCATGTCGAGATTACCCTCATCATGTTACGTGGAACTATCATCATGCTAAATGGGATAGACTTCAAACAGATCTAGCAACTCAAGAATTGGTATCCATGAGGCACCGTGGACCACCAACAGCAGCAGAATTGTATTCTAGCAGAATCTGCAACCTCGTTTCCCAGCATATCCCCCACTCAACCATTACTATCAAGCCAGGGAATCACGCTGGCTCAATGGACAGTGCAGGAGGGCATGCCATGAACAATAATAGGCATACCTAAAAGTGAGGTGTCAGAGTGGTGAAGCTACCTAATACAACTACTTGCATGCCAAACAGCAAAAGCAGCAAGTCATAGGGAAAGCTAAGTGATCCCATGAATCGAATCAATGGATCAGATCTAAGCTCGACAGTCCTGCCACATCCAGTTGTGAATGGTAGTGGACAATTACAGAACTCACTGGAGGAAGAGACTCCACAAATATCCCCACCACTGTAATGGAAGAACCCAACTGACAACTGCAAGAGAGAAGGCTGAAGCATTTGCAGCAATCTTCAGCCAGAAGTGCCAACTGACTTCCTTCCATGGTCCCTAATATTACAGATATCAGTCTTCAGCCAATTTGATTCACTCCACGTGATAACAAGAAATGGTTGGATGCACTGGATATTGCAAAGTCTATGGGCTCTGACAACATTCCAGCAATAGTACTGAAGACTTGTGCTCCAGAACTTGTTGCTCCTCTAGCCAAGCTGTTCCAGTACGTTACAACACTGGCACCTACTCGACAATTGCCCCAATATGGAAAATGTCATCAACAGTGCTACTAAGCAGCACCTGCTCAGTGACGCACAGTTTAGGTTTCGCCAGGGCCATTCAGCTCCTGACCTCATTACTGCCCTGGTTGAAACATGCACAAAAGAACTGAATTCCAGAGGTGAGGTGAGAGTGACAGCCCTTGACATCAAGGCTGCATTCAACCAAGTGTGCCATCAAGGAGTCCTAGCAAAACTCAATCAACGGGAGCAAACTCTCTGTTTTTTCACATAAGAAGATAGTTCTGGTTATTGGAGGTCAGCCATCTCAGGTCCAGGATATCTCTTCAGAAGTTCCTCAGGGTAGTGTCTCTAGGCTCAACCATCTTCAGCTGCTTCATCAATGACTTTTCCTCCAACATAAAGTCAGAAGTAGGGATGTTCGCTGATAATTCCACAATGTTCAGCACCATTTGCGACTCTTCTGATACTGAAGCAGTTGGTGCTCAAATGCAACAAGATCTGGACAATATCCAGGTTTGAGCTGACAAGTGGCAAGTAACATTCATGCCACACAAATGCCAGGCAATGACCATCTCCAATAAGAGACAATGTAATCACTGCCCCATGACACTCAATAGGTTTAACATCACTGAATTTCCCACTATCAACTTCGGTGGGGTTACCATTGACCAGAAACCCAATTGGATTCGCCGCATAAACACAGTGGCTACAAGAGCAGGTCAGAGGCTAGGAATACAGGCGGAGGGCAGGGTGAGCAACTAACCTCCTGACTCCCCAAAGCTTTTCCACCACGTACACAAGTCAGGAGTGTGATGGAATATTCCTCACTTGCCTGGATGGGATGCAGCTCCATCAATATTCAAGAAGCTTAACACCATCCAGGACAGTTCGTTTGATTGGCACCACATCCACAAGCATCCACTTGCTCCACCACTGACGGTCAGTAGCAGCAGCATGTACTATCTACAAGATGCACTGCAGAAATTCACACAAGATCCTCAGACAGCACTTTCCAAACCCACAACAACCTCCATCTAGAAGGACAAGGGCAGCCGATACACGGCAACATGACCAACTGCAAGTTCCTCTTCAAGCCACTTACCATCCTTACTTGGAAATATGTCACTGTTCCTTCACTGTCTCTGGGTAAAATCCTGGAATTCCTTCCCTAAGGGCATTGTGGGTTAATATACAGTATGTGGACTGCAGTGTTTCAAGAAGGCAGTTCACGACCAGCTTCTCAAGGGCAACTAGGGATGGGCAATAAATGCTAGCCCAGCCAGCAATGCTCACATACAACAAGTGAATTAGAGTCATAGAGATGTACAGCATGGAAACAGACCCTTCAGTCCAATTCATCCATGCCAACCAGCTTTCATAGATTAATCGTTAAAAAGCAACTGCTGCTCTAAGAACTACTGCTTTTGGTATCGAGATGTGGTTATGCTCAGGGACTGGCAGCTAATTGACCAATTCAGCGTGCAATCAAGGAAAGACTGATCCTGGCTAGCCA